ATTGTAGACTGTGGATGCGTGTTCGACCAACCAAGTCAAAACAGGTGAATCGTCAGGAAGTTTCTCACCATAGTTCGACTCGATCGCGGCTCGAAGAGTCCTGGCTTGTCCTTCCAAGGTTTGAACAGCTCGTTCAATCTCTCCCTTGGATTCTTTGACTCCTTTCGGGCTCTTCTCGATGATCAGGGTTCCTTCAAACCCACTCTTTACTGCCTCAACCACAGAGGTGAGGGCAGGTTCAGGATCATGTCGAATGATCAGTTTGGAGCACCCTAGTTTCTTGATGTCGTTCAGGAGTACTTTGGATCGATATGGACCTTTTGTCACACCTTTGTAGGGTAACACATGAGCAAAAAGATGCTTCGTCCATCGATCTCTGACAACAAGAATTGGTGCAGTCTTCTCGTCCAAAACTACATCATCAGTTCGTGAGTTCATGAAACAGTAGTCTACAGTTACAACTGGTGTTGTTTCGTCTGTGTGGTCTACTCTCCTGTGTGGGTTTGCCTTGGCCTTTCCCCTAACACAGGCCTCACACCAGGAACGAAAAGGAAAGTGTGAAACAACGTGTTCCTCGAGCTCTTTTCGCGCTGGGCGAACTGGAGCGTTGATCTTGAGCTCAGGTGGAATTTCATCACCTGGCTCGGCCTCAGCGGCTTCAAAATCTGCCGGGGCCTCTTCGTCCATCACCGGACTTACCCACTTCGGTGCCGGGTGAAATGGTGGAACACGATCGGCACGGAGTAAACTCCGTTGCAAAAGGAGATTGGGATCTTCTTCCCATCTCGAGCAATGTGTCCTCCAGTCTTGCTCATCTGGATGGACCAGCCCTTGTCTGCGAGGGCTCCTGCAGAAAGTAACGGCTTGGAGACAGCCATCACTCGAAAACTGCAGCCAATCGTCACCTTGGCATCGACCTTGCCGAGATCCTTCACGATCTCGCCTGAGGCGGTCTTGTAGACCTTGCTGGTGCCTTCAGGCTGGGTAGGCTTGTAGCCCAGTGCTGTGGCAAGTTCGACAGGGATGCAAGGACGTAGCGGCTCCTGAATCCAAGGTCACCTGATGAGCCATTGGCGTCTCCATGGATGCCAGCTCCAAACTCTTGAGGGCGAGTGGATCTTCATCGCCTTCCTCAGGCTCACTTGAGGGAGTGGGATATCGTTTTCCCTTTCCCTTCTTGGCCTCGCGGGCAGCTTCCTGAGTGGCCACGTTGACTGCTCGAGTCAACTGCACTTTCTTCTGCTTGCCCTTCTCTTGGCCCTTCTGATGGCCCTTCTCGGAGGCAGCCGGAGCCGAAGCGGCTCGGCTCTTGCCCGGGGATCGAGACCGGGACTTCGGTCGAAGCGTTTGCCTTGGCGCTTCGCTGGATTCCTCTTGCTTGGGTCCTGGTCCACGGAATCGCTCCATGTGCTCTTCAGTCGAGCTCTTGAACCAGGCCATGCGCTCCTCCTTGGTTTTGCCCTTCTTCTCAGGAGGTGGAGGTGTCTTGGCAATGCGCCTCTGCTTTGGCGTCTTTGGGCCAAAATCATATTCCTCCTCCTGCTCTTCCATCATCTTCTGCATATGGGCAGTCATGTAAAAAGGAGGTTCTTTCTTGATAGTCTCAAGCTTTGGCTCTTCCATCTTCAAATGCCTTGCCACATCTTCAGGCTTCAGATCCATATTGGCGTCCTTCACATGCTTTGGCGCATCCTTTGAAGTTGGGCTGCCTTGCTGTCCCTTGGCAGTCTTGATGCGCTTTCCCATCTCTTTCTGCTTGATCGTCCATTCCTTTGCCCACTGATTGAGGACTTTTGGTGGGCAGCACTTCAAAGCCATATGATGGTTCCATAGGCCAGTGTCATTGTCACACTTCAGGGCCTTGTTGCACGCACGGAAGACCATGTTCTTGCTGCCATCTCTGTTCTTGTGGGTGCATTTGGCTACCCATTCATCATAGCTGAGAATTCGCTCTTGAAACATATGATCGAGCCATGGCACGGTGTCTTTCTCCTTTTCTTCTTCTTGCCCATCTGACTCATCGTCAGCTGGCTCAGTGCCATTCTCATCATCTTCAACTTCATCTTCAAACTCTTCTTCTTCTTCAAGTCCCTCGATTTCAGTCACATCAAGGGGATTGATGTTCTCCATGACTCGGGCTGCGAAGGATGGTGCACTTGTTGCTCCTTCGCCTTGGCTTTCGATGCGCTTCATCACGATATACTCCTCTGGGTTGAACCCAGCAGCAGTGAGCGCCTTGTCGATGACACTGCGGGCTGGATGGCTCGTAGCTGTCCAGGTTCGGCTTTCCCGCTTCATCTCTGCCAATTCTTGAGTGGAGAGATCTTCGATCTTGGGCTCCTTCTCTTTTGGCTTCTCAGGCTTCTTTGCCTTTCCTGGCTTCTTGTAGCTACGATGCGTCTGGGCCCTTTCTCGACCTCGAGGTTGAGGGGCTTCATCAAACTTTCCCTCATCATCTTCATCATCCCAAGCTTGAAGTCGACCAGTACCCTTGGCACGAGCAATCTCATAGTAGTCGAGCTCCTCAGGGTAGTTGGCCTCATAGTCGCGCCAGGATTCGAAACGATCCTGGGCCTTCTCAACGCGATGCTGCTCGGCGCGCTGACGGCTTTTCTCCTTCTTCTTGGCCAATCTTGGGTCCATGCCTGATGCCAAATCAGCTGAGAGCCCTGGCGACTCCGCCGGAACCGAAGCGGTGCGGCGAGGAGTTGGCCTCTTCAGCAAAATCTTTGCTTCTTTCTCCTTTTCTTCATACTGTTCTTTCAGCCTTCTCATTTCGGCTTGTTGCTCCAAGATGGCGTCATTGGCTGCTTTGCCCTGAGCCTCGGCCTCTTCAATGGCCTTCTGGATCGTCTCAGACTTCTTCTCATACAGTTCGCGGTTGGACTGCATGGTCTCTTGGATTGCTTGGTTCATGACTGCAATCCCAGCAGCTGCAATTCCAGGACGACCTTTTCCAGCTCCTGGCTTCTTTGGCATAGCTTTGGCTTCAGTCTCAGCTTTTGCCTTGGCTGCTCCACGAGAAATTGCGGCAGGTGCTGCTTTCTCCATCTCGATGGCAAAGAGGGTGGCGATGTCAGCGGAATACTCAGGCTCGGGTTGATGCTCTTGAGCCATAGAGGTTTCAGATTCCTCAACTGATGCTACCTTCTTACTCTTACTCTTGCCTTTACCTTTAGAGTCCTTGCCTTTGCCACCTTTGCCTTTACCCTTGGAGTTTTGGTTGTACCAACTACTCCTGTTCCAATCGTTCCTATACCCATCATTCTTGTTCCATGAGGGGTTCCATGAAGAGAAGTTGGACCATGAAGAACCTTTTCCCTTCTGTTTACCTTTGTCGTTTCCCTTGCCTCCATCTTGACTCTTTCCTTTTCCTTTGCCGCCTTTTGAGCCACATTTGCCTTTTCCTTTGGCTTTGGCCAGACTTGCAAGTGAAGATTGCATCTGGCTGGCAGCTGCGGCTAATGCATCAACATCCATTTGGTGCTGATCCAGTCTTTGCTTCTCTTCGACTCTCGATGTTCTCGAGGTAGGCCAAAATCTCTGACTTCATGATGGCATAGTCAGTGAGTCTCGAACTCTGGAGGTCAAGGTGATCTTGAAGTTTGGATGGACACATCTGCTGAAGACAACTTCTTGCGATGTCATCATCAAGAGCTTTCTTCTTTCGCTCTTCATACTTTCGCCTGATGTTTTCCCAGGCTTCTATGCTCTCTCTGAGCTTGTCCAATGCACACTGTTGTGGGTGCAGGACCTTCTTCAGCAAAGCTGAGTTTGCTTGTGGGTTCTGTGGATCATACTTAGTGATCAATCGTCTCAAAGCCTCTAGGCCAAAGTGCTGACCTCTGGAGGTATTCTTGACAATCTCGAGGGCTTCTCCCTCACACAATGAGATCAGAGCCTGTCGGGCCTGAGCTGAAACAAGCTCGGCTCCTTCAGGATAATCATCTTCCAGAGATGTCTCATTGATCTCTGTGTCTTGATGCTCTTCGAGGAGCTGAATGCACTTTCCTGCATTCTTGTGACTTGTCTCAATCCAAGTCTTGAACTTGAAGTACCATGAGTCCCAGGTACCTGTGTGTCCACTAAACTTGTCAGGCTTTGGAGTGCCTTTCAATTCTGATCTGTCTCTTACTTCTACGCTGGTGGCTATGTTCCTTGTGATTGCCGTTTGTTGTGTGTATGCTTCTACCATTGCTCGCTGCAATTGGCTCTGCCCCTGTGCTAGGGCTTGCATCATCTGTGCAAATTGCTGTGCCATGTCTGTGGCTTGTTGTGCCTGTGCTCCTGGCTGTTGCGCGGCTCCGCTACCATGAACGGAGAATTTAGGCTCTTAAACTCTGTGACCCCAAGTCACTGTCCCAAAGGTTGTAGTTGAAGCTTAGGCACACTTTTAGCTCACGCTTGACTGAGCTCTGGTCGCGAAATGAACACAAAATGGCTGCAGTGAAACATACATCTATACAAGCTATGTCATGTACATGTAACTGGTGCTACATCTGATCAAATCATGAATAATATATAATATATATTGTGAAACTCACAAGTTTCCCGGAACCAACGTCGAGTTGTCTCGCTCACACGCCGTGGTTCGGACCGCTGAAAGGGCG